ACCAGCAAATCAAGCCGACATGCAGGGTTGCCACTGGAGTGGTTGCTCAAGAGTCGTCAGTGCGCGCAAGTCAAAGCAAATCAAGCCGACGTGTGTGTGTGTGTGTGTGTGTCACACTTGCGCGCGTGAGAGCGTGTGTGCTAGCACGGATGTCTGCAAAATTTGCTCTTTTGTGACTGATAAGCACTTCTTGTTGCGAGCTCTGTGCACTTGCGCGCGCGCATGCGTGCGCGTGTGCTAGTGCGGATATTTGCAATGCCCTTCTGTGAGTGATAGGCTTCGGTGTTGCGAGCTCTCTGCCAGGTTGCTCTGCGCAAGTGCTCGGCCCAAGTCTTCCGCGCAACTTGCTCTGCGTGCGCAAGTGCTCTGTGCAAGTTGCGATGCGCAAGCGCTACGAGCCGGAGCTAGGGGGGAATTGAACCCGCGACGTTTTTGCACATCGACCACGCCAATCCACGCAGAGGGTCGCGCGCGCGCAAGTCAGAAATCATAAAAACTCCCCAGTTTTTGCACCTCGACCATGCCAATCCACACAGAGGGTCGCGCCCGCACCTTAGAAATCCAAAAAGTCCACAGTTTTTTCACCTTGGCCACGCCAATCCCCGTAGAGGGTGTCATTTTCGCAGGCCACCGCGCCGCCTTTCGGGACTAACTAATTACTTTCGTGCCGACATGTCTCGCGCAAGTTTGGCTGTGTGATATCTCGTTACTTTCTTGTCGACATGTCTTGTGATATCTCGTACAAGTTGTTCTCGTGCAAGTTGTTCTCGTGCAAGTTGGCTCGTGCAAGTTGGCTCGTGTAAGTTTGGCTGTGTGATACGACTGGTACAAGTTGGCTTGTGCAAGTTTGGCGATTTGCCAGTGCCAACATTAGCTAAGTCCTTTTCGTGAGCACTACCCCCCCCCCCCCCCAACCCCAGGCCAAACCATCAACATAGCAAGTCTAAACAAATGGCATAGCATGTGGCTGGGCAATGCGTAATGGCAGCATGTGGCAAGAGATCCGCCCGGACAGGGCGGGAATCGAACCTTCGGCCACGCCTAGCCGAGAACAACCCCGTAGTACTGAACCAACCCTACCCCACCCACAATCTTGCCCCCCCCCTCGTCGATTCCAGCTTTCGACGGAGCAAAAACGCTCTGCGGCGCAAACACGAGCCGTTGTGTTTTTTTCGAAAGCATTGCGAAGGGCTCCTTCGGTAAAAAAGGTGCCAGCTCTCGGGTGTCCACTCAGAATTGCAGCAGCTAGTGGGTTGGGCAGATGACTGGGCAGTTTCTTGGTTGGTACCGCCCAAATGCGATTGCTGGGAAACTGGAGGGGGGGGGGACATGGCATACCCCTTCGATAAGGGGTGGGGGGGTTTGTTGTTCGGGGGGGTGGGGCTCGAATAACAAGTGGGGGGGAGGGGGGGAGTTGTTGTTCGGGGGGGGGGGGCTGGAACTACGTGGGGGGGGGAGACTTGTTGTTCGGGGGGGGGGGCTTGCGTAATGTGGGGGGGGGGTTGTTGTTCCGGGGGGGGTCAACAACAAGTTGGGGGCCAACTTGTTGTTCGCGGGGGGGGGGCTCGAATAACAAGTGGGAGAGGGGGGGGTTGTTGTTCCGGGGGCGGGGGGGTCGAGACAACAAGTGCGGGGGGGGGGGAGGACTGTTTTCCTGGGGGGTCGGGGGGGGGGGGACTTGTTGTTGTTGCGGGGGGGGGGGGTCAAACAAAGTGGGGTCAGAAACAAGTGGGCGGGAGAGGACTTCTTGTTGTGGGGAACAAGGGACTTGTTGTTCCCGGGGGGGGGGTCGAACAACACGTGGGGGGGGGGGGGACTTGTTGTTTGGGGGGGGGTCGAACAACAAGTGGGGGGCTGGTTGTTGTTCGCCGGGGGGGGGGGTTGAACAACAAGTGGGGGAGGGGGCGACTTGTTGTTCCGGCGGCGCCCTCCAAGTGGGCGTTCAGAAGGCAGAGTCTGAATCCCCTCTTAAAAGTTTCGGGGCCTTTCGCTTCAAAGCGAAGCTTTCTTGGCCGCTTTGGCTTGTCCATCTTTTGCAGGGGTGGGGGGGCGAACAACAAGTGGGGGGGGGGGGCTTGTTGTTCGGGGGGGGGGTCGAACAACAAGTTGGGGGGGGGGGCTTGTTGTTTGGGGGGGGGGGTCGAACAACAAGCCCGGGGGGCGGGGAGGCCGGGGAGGACTTGTTGTTGTTCGCCGGGGGGGGGGGAGTTGAACAACAGGTGGGGGGGGGGGACTTGTTGTTGGGGGGGAGGGGGTCGAACAACAAGTGAGAGGGGGGGGGGGACTTGTTGTTGTTCGCCGGGGGGGGGGGGGCGCGGGGGGGTCTTGTTGTTCCGCGTTTTCGTCGAACAACAAACCCCCCCACCCCCGCTTATCGAAGCGGTCTCGGACATGGTGCACGACAGGTTTGCAAATTTCACTGGTAAATGAAGCCAGCGATGTTGGAAAATGTGGCCCGCCATTTTCTCAAGTGGCTGTATCCAGCCCCGATTTGGCCAAGGTGTCGAAGCACAGCATTCACAGCGAGAAGGGCAACGCCGCCAAGGATCTCGGCGGCTGTGCTGAAGGGGCAGCGACAGGGGTTTCCCCCTGTTGTGTTGCTTGCTACCATGGTTGCCCTCTTTCCAACGATCATGGAAGGCGTCAAGGGGCAAGTGGGCATTCAGTACCCTCCTGGGTACCGCTGCAGTTTGGTCTGCATGTGAAAGTTGGCTGGCATGAAGGCGGCCACTTGCATTCAACTTTGTGCCCAGGGAGCATTGTGGGCAGGACGGCCTAACAAACATGCAGCGGGCCCGCCGAGGCAAGACGCCGAAAAATCCCTCCTGAGCCTACCGCGTTGCCTTCGAAAAATTTGGCTCTGTGCGGTGGGATCTTTTTTTTTTCCTTCTCACAGCTCCCTGTGGGAGCTGCGTTTGCGGCACAACGAGATGAGCGCTCTTGAGGGATTCCCAGGGGTCTCGCTGGGGGGCCAGGAAGAGCTTACGAGACACTGGAGGCAAGCGGTTTCAACCAGGACAAAGCCCGGCGGCGAAGCAGCCCTTGATGTTGTTTAGGGGTTCAAGGCCTGCATGCCTTCAAAAGGGCGTTGGCATCTTCCCCTCCAATATTAGGACATCAGATCAAGTTCTTCTACCTTTCGCCCAGAACTTTTGGGAATTTTCGATCGCCAGGGCGGGGTATACATTCGATCTCGAAGGCTCCGCTCCTGAAAATCGGAGTAGGAGGCTGTGTGGGGTGCAAGTCTCGCACCGGGGCAGACGAGACCAGCGCAAACAGCGTGGAGGCTTGTACCCCGGAGCAAGGCCTATGATTATCTTGCCTGCCGCGTGGCAAAAGGTGTTGTTACGCTCAGCTGCTTTGACCACCCAGTGTGTTTCAGCGCCGACAATTTGAGAACTACTCTGTGCAACCCGTTCACATCCGAAGACGTGCAGAGGCAAACCACAGCTTCTCGCTGTTTAACATTCTTTCAATGTCAGTGAGTCAGGTGGGCGATCAGACGTTTGGCTTGCAGGCCGGGCTGCGCGTTTGAACGCTGTTGCCCTTCACTTCATTGCGTCTTCGTTGAGTTGAGCAGATGCTGGCCACGCAGTTCTCGAGGAAAAGACTGTTGGAGTGCCTTTCCAGAACACGAAAAGCAGCTCATTCTTTACGGGTTGCCTCCCGCTTCACTCGTTCTCTTTGGGCACCAGCTACTGCTTGGAAGGCAAGGATTGCGGAAGAAAGGGGACGGATAGATATCGAGGTCCCATGCCCAGCTCCAGATAGCGCAGGGGCCAGCCCATGCTGGACGCCCTTGCCCTGGCCACGTGGCCATGGCCCCGGATCTTTTTTTCTTTTTTTGCTTGGGTGGGGGGGAGGGTTTGTTTGATTTCTCCGTGAGGCATGTGGATGTGTCTTTGTTGGCTTTGGAATTGCGAAGGGATCTCAGACTCCCATTTGAGGGAGTCTCCCATTGGAGAATCCGCGTCGGCTCTTGGAGAAGATGCTGGTCAAATCCACCCAGTTTGTAGTGCTCAGGCCGCTGATACCGCTTTTCGATGCGCGGGGTCCAGCCAATGTTGTCCAGGCGCGCGGTCGTCCCTTGTGTTGTATCTAGTCCCTTCAAGCTTGGGCGGAGATGGTGGAGGTTGTCCTGCTATTCTTCCTTGCGGCATGTCAGTTCCAGTCTGCGTGCAAAGTTTGTCCCGGCCAGGCGAGTGCTACTTCGAGGCAGCTGGAGGAAGCCCAGCGTGAAGCCTGGAGTTCGCTGCGGATTTATCGCTTGCGAACTGCATGTCTCTAGGCTGGCTGCTTCGTCCCACCGAGCGCAGGAGGAGATAGACAAACTTACACCGCAAGGAGATTTGGTCACGGCGAACTGCAGGGATGACAATCTTTTATTGAGAGCATGGCGCGTCAGATGAAGGGGGTGGCTTGTCGTTGTTTGTTTTTTTAGGGTTGGAAAGAAGGCCCTTGGACCGTGCTTGTTCATAGTCACGAGGACCTGCGAACGGGGCGCGGGCTTTTGGCACGCCGCTTGCTTTGGAGAGGCCGTTGTGCCGGGCTCGGCAAGTCGAATTGTTCGAGACGTTAGCACCACTTGCAATGCAACGGATGCTACGATGATAGTTATCCAGGCACTGCTAGAGATGCAGAGGATGTTGCAATGATACTGGTGATGACGCGAACGATCACTACTTGTCATCGTCCTTGTTGGAGATGCACCCCCCGCATCTCCAGCGGTGGGTGGTGATGGTGGCAACGGTGATGACGAGGAAGTGCCTGGATAACTATCATCGTAGCATCCGTTGCATTGCAAGTGGTGTCTAACGTCCCTTTTGATTTCCAGATAAGATGGTGACTTAGATATAAGCGGCTGTTGAAAGGAGGCCTTGAATCCTTGAGCTGTGTCAGGGAACGTTTGGCACTGTGCCGGGTTTGTTGAGTTGGGACATTGGACATTTGCATCACCCGGCCCCCCGGCCTAGGTTGGATTGCGCTGGCCAGGCGGCGGCGTGTCGCGCCCTGGCCAACAGCTTTTAGTGTCGGCCACTGGGCGAGCCCCAGCTGGCGATGCTGAGCTGGGCTGATCCAAATTGCTGAGCCTATTTTCTCTCGCTTTTGTGTCCATGCTTCAGGCGAAGGCCCATACATCAATGCGCTGAGCTAAGGCATGCCAGAGCCCACTTCGCAGAATCTGGCCAACATTGGCTGCCACCTCAGAAATCCCTAGGATAATGTGAAACCACAATGCGTAAGGACAAGCCGGCACATCCCGTCGGTTCTTAAGCCCAGCCGGCTTGCCCCTGCATTTTGTACCAAGCCCCCAAGCAGGATGTTTAGCGCCAAGGCTCTTTATTTATTGCGACTGACATGCAGGGTCAGGTCATTCTGGACATCCTAGGTTGCAATAGGGACGGGGAGGGGGGGATGGTTCGGCAAATAGACATCAAAAGAGACGCTGACCCTCGTTTTGTTTGGGTTCCCTGAGTCAACCCCGCCGAAGCCGAGAAAAACGCAGTCTTCCGAGGCTGGGCCCATGCTGCTTTGGAGCACCTGCGGTTTCCGGTGTTCGGTGCCACTGCTGGCCAGGCGTCGCGTGTGAATTGAACGATGCGCGCGCCTGTGTAACCAGAGAAGGGTGTGCCACTGGTCTGAAGTATCCTCTTTCGGGTGGTTGAAAGGGACACCAATAGAGACAAAACCCATGTCCGTAACCCGTGTGCAAGTCAGTTTGCGGACCTCTGTTGAACAGGGTGCAATGTGTAGTTGCACGACTGCCGTCAACTGGATTCTGAGTTTTGACGCCTTTTGGCATACTTGCTGTGGGCGTCTCTGGCCTTCACATGGCTTGGCAGGCTGGAAGGGTGAACGAGGACCAGTGGAGGGTGTGTCGGATCATGATCCCCTTCGTTTCTCTCCGAAGCGGGAAATTTGTCCTGCTTGGCAGCCAGGAGCAGGGCACAGCCAACATCGCCAGCGGCTCATTCGCTGGATGCTTTCTAGTGACAGCTGTCAGCGGAAACGCAAGTGTACTTAGATGTGAAGCTCATGATATCAAGAGCAACTCGAACACAAATGGATCAACGCCGGCAGCAGCTGTAGAAACAGCAACCAAAACGCAGATTCAAAGCACCAGCGCGCCAACCACGCCATGCTCTTCAAAGCAGACAAAGCTTGGCCAAGGCTTGGAGATTTGCGCAGCTTGGCTTGAAGGCCTGCCGTAAGGTCTCTGAACAGATGGGGGGAAAGCAGCTCAGCTACGCGATGCCTCAGCAGTGCTCGTGCTCGTTGCTCTGCTTCGCATCCGCCCTAAGGGGGGGGGCTGGAGAAAGGCAGGAAAACATGGTCCTGAAATAGTGAGGCCGGCTGTTGCAGTTGGGGAGCTTTCAGGGAGGGTTCCGAAGGGTTTCCGGAAGGTTTGCGGAAGGGTTGCTGTTGGGGATGTACAGGCATATTTGTTGCGTTTGCCTTTCCATCAGTGAATCAGCTCAGCTCCACTCGGTACCGGACTGGCTCAAGACAGTCTCTGCTCAGCGGTCGGCCCTGATTTCAAACATGTCGTGCCGCATTGTCACGCGCTTCTCCAGGGCCCTGGATTTGGAGGCGATGGGGGTTCATAGCATACTGGGTAACAATGTCTGCAGAGACAACTATAGTTCATGTATGAATGGCACGTTCTATATACACTATGTACATGTACATGTACATATACACATGCTCTGAACAATATGACATATATTGACCTCTATATATATACACATGTATATGCTATATAGTTAATGTCCAAGGGATGTCAGTAGCTGTAAGTTGCATGCATTTTTAGCTAGGTCACCCCTGGAGGTTCCCGTGGTCTCTGCGCCCATGGCTCGTGGAGCCCCTCCTGCTCTGGCCAAAGCGGTAAGTGAAGCAGGGGGTCTCGGGCTGATAGGCGGCGGCTATGGTGATGAGCACGACATGGACCAGGCGTTTGCATCAGTCGGAAACGTACCCGTGGGGGTGGGCTTCATCACTTGGAGCCTGGCGCAGCACCCTGGTCTCTTGGACCAGGCGCTGCGCCACAGGCCCAAGGCGGTGATGTTGTCATTTGGCAACCCTGCGCCCTTTGCCGAAAGCATCAAGGCGGCAGGGGCACTTCTCATGTGTCAGTGCCAAACGCTTGAGCACGCAAAGGCAGCAGTGCAGGTCGGTGCGGATGTCATCGTCGCTCAGGGCTCGGAGGCGGGTGGGCACGGCGCGAGCCGCGGCACCATGAGCCTTGTGGCCGAAATGGCAGACTTTTTGCATGCGACTCATCCGGAGACGATGCTCCTCGCAGCGGGTGGCATAGCAGATGGCCGCGGGCTTGCGGCTGCTTTGATGCTGGGTGCAGATGGAGCTCTCATGGGCTCACGGTTCTGGGCCAGTGCTGAGTCGCGTGTGCATGATGGTCTGGTGCAGGCTGCAATCACTGCGACCGGCGATGAGACAGTGCAGAGCAGCATCCCTGACCTTGCTCGTGGCAAGCCATGGCCATCTCCTTTCAAAATTCGCACCCTCGCGACGCCAATCATCAAAGACTGGCTGCCCAGAGAGGCGGAGTTGCGAACGGAGCCGCAGGTGCGACGGCTGATAGCCGCCAGGTATGCGGACGGGGCGGCCAGTGGGGATCCGAGCCACACAGCCGTCATCGTCGGGGAGGCAGCCGGTCTCATCAAGGACCGACCGTCTGCCAAGGTGCTCGTGAGACGTATCGCGGACGAGGCAGCATTGAGGCTGTCCGGCGCAGGCGGTTTGGTATCTGACCTGGTAAAGCCCGGGGCGGCCGTCACTGTGAGAAGCTCCTTGTGAGTTGTTGAAGCGATGGCAATGCACAAGCTCACGTGCCTCCCCTCGAAACACCTGCGTTGTACAGACAGCGGGTGAAGCGTCAGAGGCCTACTGTGCGAGTTGCCACGTCGTGGTTGCCGCAGTGCGTGCTGGAAGGCTTGTCTACCGCGCTCGGAGCAAATCGGTTTACAGAAGGACCACCATGACAATAATGATGACAATAGCTATCACAATGATAATGACAATAGCGACTACACTAATACTAACAACAGCAGTAGTAGTGACGATGATGATGATGATGAGGATGATGATGATGAGGATGATGATGATGATGATGGTGGTGGTGGTGATGATGATTATGATTATGATGATGATGATGATGACAACAATGACGATGAGGATGATGATGACGATGATCATGATGATGATGACGATGACGACAGCTGACAACAATGAAAATAATGATGACGATGGTGATGGTGAGGGTGAGGGTGAGGGTGAGGGTGAGAGGAGCGGGAGGATGTGGATGCTGATGATGATGATGATGCTGCTGCTGATGATGATGATGGTTGTGGTGGCGGTGGTGGTGATGATGCTGACGATCATGGTGATGATGATTGATGGTTGGTAGTTGGTGGTTGGTGATTGGTGATTGGTGATTGATGATACCACGACCTCGAACCCTACAACTGGTTTGACAGCTACTACACCCACAAGGGCAAGGGCAAGCACAAAAAGGGGAAACTTCACTGGATGGAAGCCCAAGCTTGGCAAAAGGGCAAACCATCCAAAGGCAAGGGCAAACCTTCACTTCGAGCACCTGTCAACGCCTACACCTCTGACATGTTCTTAGGTGGCCTGGAGTTGGACCATGCCTTGGAGGCCTATGCTACAGCCAACTCCGGTGCACTTCCCAGTGAGGGACTTCTGGATTGCGGAGCTACCGCATCAGCCGGTCCACAAGTTGGGCGATGGGTGATTGGTGAGGACGGTTTTGATGATGATGATGATTGACGGTGGTGATGATGATGATGGTGATGCTTGATGCTTGATGCTTGTTGCTTGATGATGGTTGGTGATGATTCATGGTGATGGTGATGGTGATGATTAAAAAAAACCAGTATAGTGAAGAATAGGAGTCATTCCACACGGCAACAGCCACCACCGCCGCCACCACCACTGCTACCCGTCACCATCACAACCATCACATCACCACTGCCACCCACCATCAATACAACCACCACGCCACTATTCGCTACCATTGTCACCACCACTATCACCACCACTATCACCACCATTATCACCACCATTCCCATCGGCACCGCCATCACTACCACCATCAGCTCGGTTGTCCCCCTCTGCTGTGGCTTCTGGCAAACCCTTGCCTTGCCGGAGAGTTGAGGCCTGTCGGGCCCGGTTAGGGATTCAGAGGCAGAGTTAGAAAGCCCTGTCGAGTGCTTGTTCATGACACCCTGGTTAAAAGTTTAGGTCTTCTTCTTAGGCCAAGTCGGCGCCCATTGCCGCCTCCTAGGCTTCGGAGGTCATGTTGAAGTTTTGCGGACGGCTTCCGGAGATCGAGAGTAAACATCCACGTGCTTTTGTTGAATGGGTCCGACATCCTTCTATGAAGGTTGTGAAAGCCCAACTAGGCATATACGTTGGGTGTAAAGTGGTCGCTCACAGCCCTTGGAGCTCACGGGTATGTAACCTCTTAAAGCTTCTCGGAACATGCCGTCTGCTTAGGACTTCCCTTGTAGAGTGCGAAGGGTGTAGCATACATGTGCATGATGTCGCTTTAGGTGCAGTTTAGCCCAGCTTGAACTCGGGTGCGCCAAACCCAAGCCTGTATAACCGAGAACGCCCACCCAAGGCCTGAAGGAAATGTGTAGGAGAGGGCCGCTGGGCTACCAGCAGGCGCCGGAATATGCAGCCGTTGTGTTTTTCATTGGCTCAGCAATATGAAGCCAGCAACCTTAAACCAACCCAAACCAAGCCCTGAGCAACCTCCATACCAAGCCAAACCAAACCCCACCCTAAGCCAACCCGAAACAATTCTAAACCCACCCTACCCTAAACCAACTCTAAACCCACACTAAACCCACCCTAAACCATCTCTAACCTCCCCTAAACCAACCCAAACCTTATACCAGAGGTAAATCCACCCTCCCCCCATTCCTAAACCGCCCTAAGCCCGCCCCAAACCCAGCTAATCCCAACCACAGCCTAAACCAACTCTAAACCCACCCTCAACCTTACCCCCACCCTAAACCAACCTGAACACACCCTAAAGAACCCGATACCAACCCCAAATCATCCCTGAACCTAAAACGCAGCCAAACCAAACAAGACTCAAAGACCTTGTATCACCTTTTTGCAAGCTCAAACCAACCCCCAACCCCACTAAAGAAACCTTAAGCCTACCAAAACTTGATGCCGAGGGTGTTAAACACAATGTTAAAACGATACCGGGGATGATGACAGCGCTGACGCAGAACGAGTTCATGTTGTCAGCATGTTTTCGCTCTAGGAGTGAACGCAGCAACCCGAACAACAAAAACAAATCCTGAATTAAGGTCTCGACATGTTTTCCCCGATGTTCCCAGAGCGCCACATAGAAGCCCCTAAAGGGGGAAGCCAGGAGCCTCGAACCCAGATCTTGGTCGTGAATGCGCAGCCACTCCTTCCAGAGCTCACTTTGCAGGGCCCAGCCAATGCTGCGCCCCCAGAGCTTTGGAATCTATTCGCCGTTGCTCAAGGGATTCCGCTGACCTCTTGCTGCGTGCCCAATTTGAGAGGGAGACCGACCGCTTTGGCTCTACCACGTGCGCCTGATAGCTTTAGAAGGGGTGAAGGTCGATCACAAGGTAAGCCTGCAACATGGATGTGCCGGCAGAGGCGTGACCGAAATGATGTGTACGCTTCACACTGCTCCAGCTGTCAGCCATACAAAGCCCGCCCGCCCTTTCGCCCCCAAGGCTGCTCAAGCGCTTTGTGAACCGTTGCCTGGGAAGAAGGCATCGTCCAGGACTGGGTGTGCTGATTGCCTTGGAGGTTTTTGTCGCACACCATCCTCCGCACGCAAGATCCACCAGGATGTGCGCGTATTTGGATGTTTTCTGGGGGTTATCAAAGTCACAAAGGGCTGTTTCCCTTTAACCCGCCACTTAGGGGGTGGTAAAACACTGAGGCCAGGGATGGAGCCGGTGCAACTTGTACTTTAACGCCTCCGGCTCGGATCGCCGACGTTGCAGGCCTTCGTTCGTGTCTCAGGCGGAGTGCATGTGTGCCAAGGGAGACTTGATTTGAGAAGGGGCCTGTTGTTTGACCTCGTTGGTGTATGTCTCGGTTGCGCAGGACGGCAATTGCAATGAGCAGAGATGGGTGTGGGGGCAACTCGTTTTCCTACAGTGCAGCGCGCGTAGCAATGGAAATGGTTAAGAAGCTTGGTGTGTCTGTGTGATAGCCGCGGGTGCTACTGATGCAATCAATCACTGTGCTGCTGGCGCTTCTGGTTTTTGCTTTTGATTGAAATCTTTCGTTAACAAGGTCAAAGCAGGACTTGAGCAGGGACCTTTGGTTTGCCTCCGTTTGTTCAAGTTCTCTCCGGTTTCTGTGGGTGTGTGCTGTTTGTTTGTAACTGGGCAAGTCTCCAAAAGTGATGGATGGGGGCGTTGCTGATGCAGTCGAGCTCTGTCCTGCTGATGCCCTTTGTGTTTTTTCAGTGTTTACATTCTTGCCTTTGGAAAGGTCCCCGCAGGTGTTGAAATGGAGGCCTTTGCTTCGCCTTCCTTTGTTGGTCGTTTTTCTTGTCCCTATCTGGGGACCTGCGTAGTTTTTTTGTTTGCAGTTTCCCATTGTGTTTGAACAGGGTGGTGCTGCTGATGCCAGCAAGCTCTTTCGATCTGATGCGTGTCGCGCTTTTTGTTTGTGCTCTTTCACGGGACTTGCGTAGCGAGTGGCCTTTGGTTTTCCTTCTTGTCCTCAGCTGGGGATGCTTGCTGTTGGTTGTTGCACGTTTCTCGTTTTCTTTCGGACTTTGTTTGTTCATGGTCTCCTCCCCTGGAGATTCCTGCAGGCTTTTGTTTGCCTTTTCCCTGGCCATTTGGCAAAGGCTCCTGTCCTGTCAGATACGAGTAGGGACACAAAGAGTTTCTTGTTGTGCCGCAGCAGCACGCCTGTTTTCTCCTGTTTATGGGTGTTTGCTTGCAATTTCCTCAGCAAGACACGAAGGGCTTTAGTTTGACCTTGGTTGCTCCTGCTGTCGGCGGACAATAAGTGAGGCCAGGTATTTACTGGCTATGTGGGCCCTTCGCGAATGTATGGGCGTCCAACGTTGCATGAGGGGGATATTCATCACCGGCTCAATCCCAGTCTGAAGGACAGCGAGATGAGACAAACTTTGGGTTGCGATGCCTGTATGGAGATGCCGCGGCTCACAGCACGGCCTAATTAAGGAATTCGGTAGTCGGCGCAGAACCTCGAATGACGCTTGGCAGTGCTTGAGCCACCCAAAATGCAGACAAGATCGCACCACCTACGCAGAAATACATGGATTGAGTTTCGTCCACTCTGCGACCAGCCTGGCACACCCAGCCATGGATGAGAGCAATCGTGTTCAAGTCTTTGCCCGGGTGACTCTGCTGAAACCTGCAATTGTGCGTGTGGAAATTCAGGCGCGTTTGCCTCTCATGTTCACGTTTGACTTGGAACGTGCTAAGGTAAGGCCACCCATCTTGCAAGAGTCCTGGCTTCCCTGCGTGGAGGTGGGCTGCGATGTTTGAGTCTCGTGACAGGCTCTTGCGCCGCACGTCCTTGGATCAGTTGCCGAAGCGGGCCGCCTTACCATTCATTTTTCAGTTTCAGCCTACCTCGGCCTAGGCACAAACATGGGCCCTGGGTTCATGGGTTGGTTGTGGGAGCCAGGTGCCTTTGGCGAAACCATAGTCCTTAAGACCTTGGTGCCCTGTGCGCGAGGTGGAGCAGGGGACTGCCCTGGTAAGAAGCCCAGTGCCGGTGGGAGGCCTCCAAGAGAAGATAGAGATGCTGGGCAATCGTTTTCCCGGAGAAGGTCCCTTTGGGTAGGGCATTGAGGCTATTCATCCACCTCATGTGAAGACACCCACCGCAGGCGCTAGAGAGAGAGAGAGAGAGAGAGTGTATGTGTCTGGATGGGGGAGACGGTCCGCGCGAGGCCCGGTTGCTGAGGGAGGTCAAGTGGAGTCGGTGAGTATTGAAAGCATGCGCAGGTAGGTCATGCGTTAGCCTACACCTTGCTCATGCAGACACGCAGGCACAACTACCTACTTGGGTGCACGCGTTTACGTTTCTACATGCGCACGTAGACCTGCCTTTATTATTCTTTGTATATCTTCATTTGCATATACGCACGTGCTAGACAGATGAAGTTACGCTTCGTGTATGGCCATTTCGCATTGGGGAGCAGCTGGCGTGGAAAGGCAAAGACTACACATGTTGAAAGGTCCCTTTCAGACGGCAGTATTCCCGCCTTGTCCAGGCCGGACAGGTGGCCCCATTTGCTTTTGGAATGGACATGGGGTTTGGCCAATCTCGTTTTTCTTGGATGTAACCTCGCCCTTTGTCAAACGACCTGCAGTCAGGTCCGATCCGATGCAGATGTTGGGCGCTGAGACTGGACGGGATGGGCGCGTGAGTGATGCCCTCCTCGCCCAATGTGGGTGTGTGTTGAACCCCCCCCCAAAATGAGTGGTTTCTTTTGGTTTCCCTTTAAATTGACCCCAAAAAGGGTAGCCCTTTTCAAAGAAAGACACACTCATGAAACCTCACACCCATTGTGTAGGGAAACTTTTTGTACAGACCAATTGAAGGTGAGGGGTGTAGACTGAAGGAGATTTAGGGGCCCATACCAACTGCCCACGTAAAATCGTTTCTGCGTTGTGTTTCATCGCGACACCTGCCTGAGCTGAGGTGCTAGGGACTGGCACGGAGACGGGCGAGGCGGCACGTGTGCCTTGGCGTGAGAGAGTGGTGGAGTTTGCGCTCGCGCGCTGCTCAGCGCATTTGCCCCCCCTCCGAATATCAGTGGGAACAGCTCTGCGTCGGAACAAGGCCAACCTGGGGCATTGTGGAAGCCTGTGATTTGCCTGTGGGGCTCTCCATCCACCCTTGAAATTTTTGGGGCCATGAGCCAAGCTGGGAGGAACCTTGTCCCAGCCAACTTCGTACCTCTTTTGCGGCGCTTCCGACGCCGCTCAAGGCCTTTGCTTTCGACGGCGTTTTTCCTGAGAATGCCTCCCAGCAGTCTGTCTTTGCCCAGGCCTGGATAGGGTCGTCCTGGGGGTCCCGGTCCAGGAAGATGGAGCGGTCATTTGACAAGGGGCGAAGACGAAATCACAGGTACCCAGAGTTTTCAGCCAGCAAAGCAACAGGGTAGCTGCAAGAGAGTTGTTTCTGCTCAGGACAATTCAAGCAGCTTTGTTTCAGCTGACTGGGATGCATTGGTCCAAAGTAAATGTTACAATATTTGCAATCATGAACCGGACCTCCCTGTTTCAAGCTATGCCCTGTTTGAAAGGCTGAGGGTTTGATGTGTTGCCTGACTCCACCAGGTTGGCCTGCCGGTACTGCAAGGTTGCCGGGCACCAAATGATTTCCGGAGCCTGTTTGAGCAGTTTGCCGTGCCCTGGGTTCGTCCTCGGGTTCCTCGCAACGATGCAAATCGCGACGCAAAGGCCCTTTTGCAGAGAACGCATGCGGACATTGAATGAGATGCATGTGTTGCGAATGCTGCCCCGAATCAAAGCTGCACCTGAGACCAAACTGAGTCAATATGCCTGGCATCTGAAACAGAATCTCCATGACGCCAATGGCGACAATAGCACGATCAAGACTCTTTTCTTCCAGGGCACTCCCCGGCTTTCAACTGAGAACTTATCAGGGCTGAACATTACGTACGAGTGAGCACCACTACCGCAGCAAATCCAGACGTGGAGCCCGTCTGAGGCCTTCAAGGATTCAATGGCACCATCCTGGCCTATGGCCAGTGGATCGCTGAGAACGATGGCTTGTTTGTGTTAATTCCTGGAGGCGTTTCCGTGCAGGATTTATGTTCCAGTTGTTCGGTAGCTTCTGAGCTTTGTGTGCGGCTGGTTCTGAGGATGCCCGTTCTGGTGATGCATGGTGGTCGTAGAAAACGATGTGGTCAGGTCGAGAGTTCGCCGGCCAATACGGTTAAGCCGCTCAGGACCGGCAGCGGGAAAACGTTCTCCTTGCTGCATCAAGGCGGGGTTTTGAGCTTGCAGGCCAACCCTACTGACAGCCTACCTTGCTGAGACTTGGAGCAATTTCGGGCCTCTGGGCCCTTGCCATTTCATCCCATGCTGCAGTTTGACATAGCCCAGATTGCAACAGTTCAACATAGCACCAGCCTTGGCGAGTCCGTAGGCCCAGATGGCCAGCAGTATGGCTTGCTGCCTCGGCTGGCCGCCAGCCTGCCTTGCCCCAAGCAAACAGCCGACCAAAGTCAAGGCTCAAGGCTCAAGTCACAATTTCAAGGCTCAGCCGCAAAAGATGCGTTCCACGTACCACAGCTGTGTGCCAGATGGCCCAATCTGAGGTTTTTGCACGCAGATGCGCAGTACCAGATCGAGGCTGCTGCACTGCAGGCCGGAGCCGTTCAGGCTTTTAATCCTTTGACAGGTGGGGCTCTTCAAGAGAAGGTGCTGCCGTCTCTGCTCAAGCCACGTCTCTTGTAATTCTTTGATTCCTGCGGCATGTTTCACAGCCAAGCCGCACGCAAGTCTCCCGACTGAGCTAGGCAGTCCGAGTGAGATGGTTAGTGCTGCGTGGAGGGGAAGGTGTTGGGCTAAGAATTGGCATGTTTTGTTACCTTTGTTAGAGTCCACGTTATATATGCTGCTCCTCGTTGGATCCCATGCCGTTGCATGGGCCATTGCGGCCCCACACCAGTGCAGTAAGCGCCTGATCAGGGCCCGAACTTTTGCCCGAGAAATCTTGACAGTCTCCAGCCAGGTGTACAACGAGCAA